TAGCCGTTCCGATCAGATACTTCGTAATTGATATTTCACGCGTTTGATCTTTCAATTGCGAAATGCTTTCACACAAATGAGTATATATTATAGATTAACAGTATGGTTAATCTATTTGGATTCTGTGACTGAATGATGTGACTTGCTTAACATCAGTTGGTCTTGAGTTTCACTTTAGATGACTACAGGTAACTTCAAGTGATAATGTGTTAGGATATGATCATCGTGGAGTAGTTGTTATGTGAACTCATGTTCTGATCACATGGAGAAAATAAACGAATTTCAATGAGAACAATTGCTACTTCAAAATCTGATGTAGCTGCTGTCTTAATGAAAATATACTTTGAACTAGTTTTAAAGAAACAAACAACCAATGTCCTTGGAAAATATAAAAAAATGTAGCTTGGTTAAAAATGTTTCTTCCATGGTGCTCCTTCAATGTAATTCAAATTATTGGTGTGAAACAAAGGAGCTATTTAGGTAACCTCTGTGAAGACACCTTGTCAAATATTTAAAAAAAATAGCTGGGTAAAAAATGTTTCTTCCATGGTACTGCAATGTAATTCAAATTATTGGTTTAAAACAAACGAGCTATTTAGGTAACCTCAGTGTAGACACCTTGTAAACAGCATATTACATAAATATACCAACACTTCACATTTTGAACGACAGGAGATTACTTCATATTTATTTGTTAATAAAGACAAGGCTTTTATAAAGATTTTATAAAAACAAGGGTTATAAGTAACGTTCTGTACTTCTCAATTGAAGTTAGCTTAAAATCCGCAGAAGACAAAAATGCCTTTAATAATCAATGCCACAGTTAACGGCTAGTTAATGAACATCGTCGAGTAGTACGAGTTAAACCGTCCGTAATTGCATTAAACAACCGATGAGTATCAGACTGGCAAGACAGTTTCACAAAACCGATCGTTGGCTTTGTTGGCGTCGGTTGATCAGTCCATAGGATCTCTGTCATTGTTACCTGTGCCCGGATAATTACTCGAACAACGATTCTATCTGGCGGTCTGTTCTCGATCTACCTGCAGCTGATCGAATGGCCGGACGGCACGTTCGAAGAACGGCCGAGTCATACGGCGACGAGCAACGGAATTATCGCCATTAACAAGGCAACGTTTCGACGTGCAGGCTATCGTTAATCGTCCCTGTTGGCCGCGAGCAGTCGATCTCTCGTTTCTCGGTTCGCTGGCATTTCGTGAGCGCCACGTGTCACGGTCTGTCCTCTAGTTGCCAGCTGCTTAATGCGTGTCCTAAGGGTAACGTCGCTTTCACCGGTTGCGACGCTTTCTTCCACGCTTTTCTCTACTTTGTCTTCTTTCTTTTTTCCTCTTGAATTTTCGCTATTTCTTCGCTATCTCTATCTCTTCGCGTCTATGTTTCGATGCTATTTCTGTAGTCAGTTGCATGACATCCAATCAATTCCTACGGTATTTGATTGTGTTGTTCTTATACAGCAGCGTTTCTGATTATGATATAGGTGATTTAGTCTACAAGATGTACTATAGGTCATATTTTATCGTTTTAGCAATTTTGTGTCACTCATATGTCGACTATTCGCACTACAGGTGACTTTGTATGCCACTTCTGACGTGACGAAACTAGGTTTCCCTAAAACTCTTAAGTCACCTCTCGCGTGACACTTCATACTGTCATGTAGTGGGTAGTTTTAAAAATTCTTAGAAATCTGTACGTATGTATATAAACCCTGTATTATACGCTTCTCAGCAAATCTTATCAAATGTTAAACATTTCAGGTTATAAATAAATAGTGGAAATCCTAAAATTAGACACGTATCAAATTGATTTCTCTTCTAATACTCCCAACAACATTTCCAACAATTCCACCCAACCCTATTAACACCCAATTCAATCAATTCGAACACTATTATCCAAGAATCTATTTATAAGCAGTTTCTGCACTCTCCTCCTTCATTTTTGTTCCCGCTCCGTTTGCAAACGTTACTGTTCCACTCCCTTTTCGTGTTTCTCCTTGGTCTCCGGCTCGTTACATTTCGAGTCGCTCCTCTTTTTACGCCGTCCAGTTTTCTTTTCCCCCGGTTTCCACAGCTTTCCAATCCTCACCGGTCCCGTTTATCCACGACGTTCACCACGATTTTCCTTTTTCCCAACGACGCGTCGCGACGTCCTTTTCTTTTTATTTCCTTCGTCCGACGCGAGGCCACACCTGGCCTTCATCGAGATAACGAGAACGTTGTTTTACGAGCGGTCTAGAGAACTGTTAATTCACCTATCGATCGCTCGATTAATTGAAATATGCGTTTTAAAAATCGTCGATCAGATAATAACTTCGTACTTCGATCGTAAAATGTCGCCAGAGTACAGGGTAAACGTTGACTGTGCTGTTGAAGGGCTCCCTCAAACTTCTTTCGTATTCTTTCACATTTTTATTAGGGGTTAGGTTAGGTTATTAGTGAGTGAACATTGTTTGATACGGTTATAATTATTCATTGGTGATATAACTATATGTAGTGTTACTGGTATTGCTATTGCTGTTCATTAGTATTTTTTATTATTAGGATTTACATGATTTGCTTTCACCTTGATCTCAATGTCATAAGCAAGTAAATACTGAGTACATGATTTGCTTTCACCTTGATGATCTCAATGTCACAAGTATATAAATACTGAGTACATGATTTGCTTTCACCTTGATGATCCCAATGTCACAAGTATATAAACACAGGGTAAATCATTTGTTTATACTTTGAGGACTTCTATAACATAAACAAGTAAATATGGAGTACATTGATGTCCTGAATGTCATGCAGTATAGAGTGCCTAAAAAAACAAATCTTATAAATCAATCTACATATAAAAATATTCGTGGACCTCAACATAAATAGCTAAACACCAGCAGTTTGAATACAAGTACTCATAATGAAAGTAATATAATTAATATTTCAGTAGAGTATAAGAGTAGAAAGAACAATTGAACAAAGACATAATCACTCTAATTTGAAGAAAAGGAACCGTCGAAGTGGCCCGTTTGATCAGCAGTTTCTAATCGTCGGTAAATCTGTTACACCGTTTCCCTTGTCGCGAGACGAAGCCCCGTAAATCAATTGAATTAATAAGGATCGATAATTAGACCGGTTCGCCCGATAACTTGGACCGCTTTCCACGGATATATTGGCCCGTACTCGAAGCGACGAGCGACGGTGCCGGATAATCGATAATACACAATTATTATCCTCCGGTTGCTATAATTACACTCGGCTACGATTTAGGGAATTAAACCGGGAGAGAGGTACACCGTGGACCGCCTGTCGACTCTCTCGCGAGCACCGTCCTCCTCGAATTCCTAAGCCTTGTTATTATTTCACCGGGGATATTTAAAAAGCAGTAATCTCCTTTGCTCTTAATCCGATTACAGTCTGGCTGTACGATAAAAGGAGGACTCGCAATCTGCGGCCCGTCTACTACGGAGTTGAGACAATGAACCGGCCGTCGCTTGCAAAGTCGGGTTCATTATTGCGTGACACACGTGGAACGTGTTTTACCTTACTGCCACGCGACCGCGCTTTGATGACTTTCTACTTCGAACATTTTTGATTTTTTTACCTATATGAAGCATTTAAATGATCTTCGTAAAATGTGTATCAAAATCATGAATATGATCTTGGTGAAATTTGGATGAAATTATTAAAATGATTTTGACGAAGTTTTTATAAAAATTATTAAAATTATCATTGGTAAATTATGTTTAAATATCATCAAAATGTTTGGTGAAATTTTGGTGAAGTTTATATGAAAATCATTTAGGTAATCTTTGTAAAATATGTATAAAAATTATGAATATGATCTTGGTCAAATTTGGATGAAATTATTAAAATGATTTTGACGAAGTTTTTATAAAAATCATTAAAATTATCATTGGTAAATTATGTTTAAATATCATCAAAATTTTTGGTGAAGTTTATATGAAAATCATTTAGGTAATTTTTGTAAAATATGTATAAAAATTATGAACATGATCTTGGTCAAATAGGGATGAAATCATCAAAATGATTTTGGTAAAACTTTTATAAAAATCATTAAAATTATCATTGGTAAATTACGTTTAAATATCATCAAAATTTTTGGTGAAGTTTATATGAAAATCATTTAGGTAATCTTTGTAAAATATGTATAAAAATTATGAACATGATCTTGATCAAAGATGGATGAAATCATAAAAATAATCTTGATAAAACTTTTTTAAAAATCATCAAAATTATCATTGGTAAATTATGTTTAAATATCATCAAAATTCTTGGTGATATCTTGGTGAAGTTTATATAAAAATCATTTAGGTGATCTTTGTAAAATATGTATAAAAATTATGAACATGATCTTGATCAAATATGGATGAAATCATCAAAATGATTTTGGTAAAACTTTTATAAAAATCATTAAAATTATCATTGGTAAATTACGTTTAAATATCATCAAAATTTTTGGTGATATCTTGGTGAAGTTTATATAAAAATCATTTAGGTGATCTTCGCAAAATATGAAAGAAAATTACGAACATGATCTTAGTCAAATATGTGCTATCTTCAAAATCATTTTGCTAAAATTAATATAAAAATCATAAAAATTATTTGTGTACATTATGTTCAAATATCATCAAAATTATCTAGATGAAATTTGCATGAAAATCATTTAGGTGTTCTTCTTAAAATATGTAGCAAAGTCACGAACATGATCTTGATTAAATATGGTTGATATCATCAAAATGATCTTAATAAAATTTCTATAAAATCATGAAAATGATCTTACTGAAAATAATCAAATCTTGACAAAATTTGTATAAAATTGTCTAACTGATCTTTATGAAATTTGTATAAAAATCATCCAATGGATTTTGAACAAATACATCTATAAAAATTATCTAAAAATAACCTTGATGAAATTTATATAAAAATTAATGTAAATAACATGTTCACAGTAATAACCAGTTGCCTCTCTGATTTCAGGGTCCTGCATCTTCAGAAGCTGCCTAAGCATCTAACGTAAGTCCAACCTAATTCCAAATAAATAACATTCTCACGAAACTTGACTACTAAACATAAGTAATCTCAGCTAAACTCAGAAAACAAATCTACAAAATTGAATAATTCCCTCCATACTACTCCTAAAAAACCCATACTTAAAGCAATTTAAACTTTCCCTGAAAGTATATAACTCCCGTCATTCTATTAACAAAATTACACGATCAGACTCGAATCGATTGAATAATATCCTATAATTCATGAGACCTTTCGTAAGTCCCATTTGTCCAAGTGAAAGTGCATTAGCAAATAAAGAAATGATAGGCAACACTTGTTAACGATAGTAGCAGTTTCCATCATTGCTCGCGGTTACAAAATGCGGCTCCGTTTCACGATATTGATCTGTAAAGTGACTTACTTCATGGATATACATCGGTCTGACGTAAAAACTCTTTGCATGTCCGTTTGCGATGCACGAGCCCAGAGTTTCGGTATGAATAAATGACACGCAGCCGGCGACTTTATAGCATTCGAGCTCGCCACTATCCATTAGTAACGAGCCAGCGTGCAGTTTGATTAAGTAAAACGTGGATCCGCGAAGAAATTCTTTCCGCGTTGCAAGCTTCTTTACAATCCGGTAAAAAATACACCTTTTAGCTCATTGATTTTCTTTTGCTACCTTTGTTCGGTGCGCCGTAATTATATACCGAGCATAACCTCATAAGGTGGAGTAGGTGAAGCGCAATTATAGTTAGAGAGACTTTAATCAGCAGAAATAACATGGGCTGGTACGTTAAGGGTTTAGGTTAACAGGGTAATTGTTGAGGGTTAACGTTTTATTGGTGAAACGAAATTTAGAGTGGTGATTTAATATATGGCGAAGAAGGTGTTACGAGTGTGGATTCAAGGGGAGGGCAAGTATAATGTGGTTGATATTAATGGGTGATAAATTTGATACGTGTCGAATTTAATGAGTGACAGATCTGAGGAGTGATGAATTCAAGGAGGGTGAAATTCAACGTACGTTGGACAACGTGTGGTATATCTAACGCGTAGAGAATATAGTGAATGGAGAATACAGTGCGTGACAAGTTTAATGTGAGAAGAGTAAGCGCGTGGGGAATACAACGCGTGGCAAATCTAGCGCGTGAAGAGTACGGCGCGTGGGGAACATAACGCGTGGTAAATCTAGCGCGTGGAGAGTACTGTGCGCGGAGAGTACTGCGCGTAGGGAACACAACGCGTGGAGAGTACAACGCGTGGGAAACACAACGCGTGGGGAACACAACGCGTGGGGAATCTAACGCGTAGGGAATACAACGCGTGGGAAACACAACGCGTGGGGAACACAACGCGTAGCAAATCTAACGCGTAGAGAATACAACGCGTGGGAAACACAACGCATAGAGAATACAACGCGTGGGAAACACAACGCGTGGGGAACACAACGCGTAGCAAATCTAACGCGTAGAGAATACAACGCGTGGGGAATCTAACGCGTAGAGAATACAACGCGTGGAGAATCTAACGCGTAGAGATTACAACGCGTGGGGAATCTAACGCGTAGAGAATACAGTGCGTGGGGAATACAACGCGTAGCAAATTCAACGCGTAGAAAATACAGCGTGTGGAGAATACACATATGTCGGATACAACATATGGTAATTCTAACGTGTATCGAATTTACCACAGGTGTCTAATATAACACTTACCACATACAACACTTGCTAAATGCAACACTAATCAAATACAACCTGCATCTAATACAACCCATACCAATACAACTCACCATAAATTTCACTTGCAACATATGTAACACATGCATGATAACATACTACATCATATGATATACTATATTATAACATACAATACCAACACACAAAATACTATTTCAATCAGTTATCTATCAGTTATTTAACAAATCTATTTAATTCTTAAGTACTATACATTCTTGTATATTTTTTTAAGTATTCATAATTCTTCTTTGTTTCATCTCAAACAATTCTCCCGCTGTTAACCGAATTCTCATAGCCTTGCGAGTCAAATATAGGCGGTGTTGAAGACATTTTTCGAAATTGACCGCGGCAACCGACCAAGCCCTTTTCTCCTCGTAATTAGAGGGTTTGTCAGATCCAGTTGCGAAACGTTTCGATCGGTCGATTCTCGAAGCAATTCACGTGTCCTGTGACGTTCATAATTATTGTAAACGTAGCTGGTGATGCCGATCTTGATCGTTTTTGACGCGTCCATTGCACGCGAGCCGAAAAGAAACTCCGGTGCGACCATGAATTATTTAAAATAACAGGAACGAACTTTTCGTTACACTGTTGTCGCTTGTCAAATTATTATTTATTGTACAGTCACTGTGAGAGGTGTCAATCAGCTGACGAGCTGAAGGAGAGGCTGAATTTGGTGTTCAGAAGAGTACTTATCGAAATCATTATATATAATACTAAATACGTATGTGTATTTATAACATGTATACATGTATATATTTGAGAATATGTATGGCTTTGAGTTTTTATATTTTTGAGGTGCCATAGTGAAATTTGAAAAAAAATTCTATATGTGAGAATATTTATATTTCTGCGTGTCGACATTCCCGAATCTGGGTATTACCGAATTTCTACACACCCGAATTCCCACATTCCCGAATTTCTGCTCTTCCGAATCCCTACATTCCCGAATTTCTACACCCCCGAATCTCTACATTCCCGAATCCCAACATTTCCGAATTTCTACACCCCCGAATCCCTACAGTCCCGAATCCCTATACTCCCGAATCCTTGCACCCCCGAATCTCTACACCCCCGAATCTCTACACCCCCGAATCCCTACACCCCCGAATCCCAACATTTCCGAATTTCTACACCCCCGAATCCCTACACTCCCGAATCCCTATACTCCCGAATCCTTGCACCCCCGAATCTCTACACCCCCGAATCTCTACA